AAAAAGTCAATCTAAAACTCTCCATTGACGATAAATTGCGTCATCACGTTGTCAAAGTAGTGTGGATCCACGAGGCGTAGCCGAGATACAATAACGATGAAACTAACTTTTAGATAGATAAAAAGACGCTCTTTAAACTAAATGTCATTAAAATCATATTTTGCAAGTGCAAGAGAGCATAAATAAAAGAGGGAAACTTCTTAATAACTCGCKCGCAATGTAAATTCCCTGTTGGGCTATTTTTAGTAACCGGATGCAGTTWAAATTTCGCCTTACCCCTACCCCGTCTGCGTCATCAACTTGCGCGCGCGCTCTTTCCGTTTATTTTTTGATCACTAAAAACGAAATAAGGTGGACATGATCAGTAGAGTTCAGTTAAAAATCTGATATTCGACTGGGTGAACGGCAGAACAAATCGGTCTTACTGAGTCAAGATAAAGGTAGCTCTATGGCTAGCAAGTATGTATATCATACTATTACATCACATTCTTTCTACTCACCTTTTCCAGTGACATCTATCTGTGAAGTGCTATCAATTATCATATTCGTAGCTCGTAGAGCCAGAATACTTCCCAAGGAACCCGATTGTGTATGGCAAGTCAACGTACACCAGTGCGTCAGAGTTACATTGTCAAATTTGACAAGACCCTGAGCAATGATTTCACATGGCTTACTTGATAAATTATACAGCTTGGATAATGGGGAAGCTAAAGGAACAACACAACTGAAAAAAAAAAAAAGAAAAGAAAAGAAATTATGGAAGTAAATGGTCTATTTTAGCGATAAAGCAATGTTTCTGGTGGAGGGGAAGGTGGTGTAACTGATGGACATCAATCAGCTGATAAAAATCTTTAAGGTGAATGCCCACTATTTAAGCGATTCTAAAAAAGGGGGGATTCCTTTATTACGTCTGTCTATGAATCTCAAAAGAGATCAACAAAAAGGAATAGATTTAGAGATAGCTGGCCATTGGTGCCAAGCTAACAAAACATCTAACATTCACTTAATTTATAAAGAATTTTACAAACTACACAAGAAAACCGTCCAAGTTACTTGTTCCACTGGAATTGCARGCTTTTCTTATCTACGCGCGGTTTAGGCACTACAACAGTCGCTACAGTCTTCGTGAGAGTTCGATAAAAATTTGAAGTATCAATGGGAAGCAGACACTGAAAATGGTCGCTTAAGAGAGAAACCAAGCAAAGGAATAAAAAGACTTTCTCAGCCCAATTTTGCATGTTTGTTAAAAGAACRTACCTTCGCGCAGCGCACGTGTTTACTTTGACGACTTCGTATTTTCCATAGTCATCGATATTTTCTGATCGGCCAACTAGCAGTAATAATTCTGACACATCAGACATATCATCAAGAGTGCACCTATCTAATGTAATGTAAGCTGGGTTCAGTTCCCTAACTTTCCAGGTTTTTAGGTAGCTTGAACAGATATTGAGAGTTTTTCTTGAACAAATTAAATTTCCTGTCGAAAGAAGGCAAGACAGTCACTTTCAAGTATGAACCAATCATATGTTTATTTGTCCCTTACAAGGCTACTCACCCGAACCAAACCTCTAATACGAAAGAACTATTCCACCCCCTTCTCAACCAATGACCCAAAAATATATTATGAAGATACGATAAGATTATAAATTGAGGAGAAAAAGCATAACTAAAGCTGAAAAAAAGACCAAATTATATATACTAGCGTAAACTTAACTTTAAAAGATATGCGTGGGGTTGTCTAGCAAAATTAGGCTGAGGATTAGTGCGGCGGCATTTTGAACAAATTATTTTGAGGGATCTAATATTATTGCCATCAAATACTTTTTTTAAAGCAAAAAAAACAAACAAACAAAAAAACAAAAAAACAAAAAAACAAAAAAACAAAAAAACAAAAAAACAAAAAAACAAAAAAACTTGAGTTAACATTCAAAAGACTCCAGAGAGTGGCAAGCTTTTATATCATCAGGTAAACAGAGTATTTAAGTAAAATCCAGACTGTGTGCGACTAGAACGTCCCTCAATAAAACAAAAGTAGTACTTATTTAATTCTGAGTTAACTTTAACAAGGTCTATCTTACACTTAAACAAATAACCTAAATCTAGATATTCAAACCAGTAGTTAAGAGGTAATAGATAAGGCGTTCATTACAGGATAAATTTGCGTTCTTGCAAATAAAGCGGCTGGCTTTTCTCTGCACATTCTCAATGAGAATGAYATCACTTATAACCGTCTGGGAACCCCAGAGTTGAGAATTATAGCATAAATTCGAGCGGACTCTAGTAAAGAGGTTCATAAAATAACTGTTCTAAATYTCGCGTCCTAATTGGTTAGGAGCGCGTGCTTTATGAGAGCGCAGAGCACGCGMGCGCACTTTCAATTTCGTCGTTCCTGCAATTTGAACTTCATAAAAGAAAAAACAACTTGTCTGCTATGCTGTGTTGAGTTATAAAGCACTTGGGGATTGGCAAAACAGTCGAGAGGTGTCGAGAAACACTCCGCTACATGTYGTGCTTCTCCTAACACTTCTCTAGTGTTCTTCCAACCCCCCGCATGCTTTATAACTACACACAGCACRCGCGCGCTTTTTYCTATTTCTTCAATATATTGTAAGGTAAGAGCCTTAGTGTTTWCTACTGCAGGGTAGTTTCTTTAAGTTCCTTCTAAGAAGTATCTTTGGAGACTAGCACTCCAAGATCTCTAGCCACCGTAACAACTTTGGAATCTCAACTATTAACATTATAAACGCGCTGAGGGCTATAGCGCCTACGCGAAATACTCAAGTTTTTTTTACGCATTTTCTAGKCTGAAAAWWAAGCTCATTGTTGATTGACCATTCAYTTAAGGCATATAGATCGTTTTGTAGATCCATACAATTAGATATTGAGTAAAAAGGCTTTAAGCATTTTGAATCATCCGCAAACATAGTTTTCAGTCAGTASATCGTTGAAACTGATTGCAGATGTTTTCCTTTACTTACCTTACTTATTRATTTATGCTTACCTTCACAAGATCGTTCATTACAAATCATGTTCTCTTGTGTGATTCCTGAACACTGTTGAACAATACACGTCCTATTACGCGACTGACAACCTCCCCCACAGGAGGCAGTACAAGTAGACCATGGGCCCCAATCACCAAACTCGCAAGGTTGCTGAGTACAAGCTCTGTTCTCTTCACTGATTCCTGAACATGCCTGAATCCTACATATTCGAATACGCGACTGAGATCCCTCTCCACATGTCACACTACATGAAGTCCAAGGACTCCACTGACTAAAGTCACAAGTTTGCTCATTACAAACTCTTTTTTCTTGTCTTACCCCAGAACAGTCTTGATTGGTACATGTCCTATTACGTACTTGCAACCCTCCTCCGCATGATACGCTACACGAAGACCAAAGGTTCCAAGGACTAAAGTCGCAATGGTGTTGGTTACAAGCTCTGATTTCTTTTCTGGCATTTGAACAGACTTCAACAATACATGTCCTATTACGTTCTTGCAACCCTCCTCCACATGTTACGCTACACGATGACCAAAGGCCCCACTGACTAAAGTCTAAAATATAGAGCAGTTTCCTTGATTTAGTATTGACTCTAGACAAAGTGCATTTCACCTTTCACCATAGCATGATGTATATAACGGAAYTTAAGCAAATACTTAGTTGCATAAACTTCGCATGATGTATGTAACTTTTTTTTCTATACTTTTTGCTAATTCTAACCCCTCCCCCCACCCCTTCCCCACAAAAAGAGAAAAGAAAATTAAAAACTTGAATATCTTTACGAAAATGATATTCAAATTGAGGAAATACTCCGTATCGAAATATATGGCGACCAACTTGAAAACCTATTTTAACAAATCAGGTCTAGTGTTATTTTATAGGTTTTTTTTCATAATTGTGAAATAAATGTTTCTTCAACGAAAAACAATGTCTTTCCGAGCTTTCGGGCATTCTAGCACCCATCTTCAGGGATTACAATGGTATTATTCGTCATAACAGCTTTTATACTCGACCACATCAGCAATGCTGTAACTCGTGTTCACGCGGATAACACAAAAGCGCTTTCACATGTATGAGTCCAGGCTA